ATAGATAGATAGATAGATAGATAGATAGATAGATAGATAGATAGATAGATAGATATTTGTTCCATGGAACTATATGTGTTGGTAATATGGGGCAAAAGCCTTAAGAATCGATGAACTTATTTTCTAATCTTTGTTACTCTCTCGGCCTCTCTATCCTTCTCTCTATCTCTCCTTCTCACCCTTTCTCCCTGTCTTTCTTTCTTATTTTTCTCTCTGTATCTCTCTCCCTCTCTCTCCTTCATACAAATAGATAGATAGATATTTGTATCAAGCTCAACTGATCTCCGTACTGTTCTTCTCTTCCCCTCCACAGCTGGATATGTACAGCCTGGGAGTGTCCATGTGGATGCTGATCTACAGGCAACGCTCAGAAGGCATCAAAGACCTCTTGGCCTTCTCAGACCAGTGTAAAGACGTTAAGGAGCCTTATAGGAGGATCTTACGCCAGCTGCTGCGTAAGGACCCCAACAAACGCTGGAGCGCCGCCGATCTGTTGAGGTTCTGCGTGTGGAACTCACTCTGCGCACCTTCACTGATGAGCAGCCACTGAGACCGCCCCGACGACCACCCCTCGGATTTTGGATTCCTCTTGATGTGTCAGGACAGTAGTGTTTGGTGAGTCAAGTAAGTCTTTATGTGTGTGTTTGTTAGTATGCATTCATGTATGTCTTTCTCTCTGTCTCTCTCTCTCTGTCTCTCGTTTTCTATCTCTCTCTTCTCTCTCTCTCTCTCTCTCTCTCTCTCTCTCTCTCTCTCTCTCTCTCTCTCTTATCTCTTCTACTCTCATTTTCTCTCTTTTTCTCCCTCTCTTCCTCTCCCCCTCTCTTTTTCCTTCCCTCTATGTCTCTCCATCTCCCAATCTTCCGATCTATCTATCTATATCTCCCTCTCTCTCTCTTGTCCCTTCAACCTCTATCTCTGTCTCTCTGTCTCTGTCTCTCTCTCTCTCTGTGTCTCTCTCTGTGTCTCCCTCTGTCTCTCTCTCTGTTTCTCTGTCTGTCTGTCTGTCTGTCTGTCTCTCTCTCCTTCTCCCTTTCTGTTTCTCTATGAGAGTCTAGTAAGTCTGTATTTGTGCGTATATATTTCTTTCCCTTTGTAAGTTTGTCTGTATGTGCTGGTGTGTCATTTATTATTTAACTCTTTAGTACCACCTAGATAAGACGCCTTAGTTTTAGTTAAGTTAGGATGTGCACCAGTCTCTAGAATCTAACCGTCCCTCTTGACTGTTCTGTTAACCCTTACTCCTGCGGAAGAAGCTGCCCATGTGGATGCACTAGCTCAAGTCTTGTGACAGTCTTATAGGACTTTGGGTTCCTTTCCTTCTTTTTAAAGGTTTTTTTTTTGCAGTGGTTGGGGGAGTGGAGGGGTGGGGGTGGTCAAGAAGTTATGAAATTTGCTCATATTCTGAACTAGACATCGAGTAGTCAACGGGATAGACTGGGGACGGAGGGGAAACTGGCTCTCGCTATCTCTAAACAAAAGGTGTCAAGTTCAGTCAGTTGTTATTTCAGTTATAATTCTGGGTGTTGGGGTTTTCTAGACTGGCTTTAGACTCGCGTGCATTCACTGTGAGCTTCCTTCGTTTTCTTGGCCCTGCCCCGTAGAGTAGAATAACACTAACCAAAGGTCACATATAGCTGAGACTGAGTGCACAAAGTTTTGGACATAATTTTTTGTAGTGTGACCGCTAAAAACTGTTAGGTCGTTGTCTCCATTAGGGAGTGGGAATGAGGGAAATGCCCGCCTCGTGACTCATTTGGAGCAGAGGAAATTAGGTATTCAAAGAAAGTTTCAACTAACCTTTAACCTTTTTTTAGTTGTTATGTGATAAATGTTGTGTTCAGTGTTGAGTTGTTATATTTATCCTTTAAAGTATATCGTTTAAAGTTAACTATAACCTTAAAATTTATTAGTAACTTTGGGTCGACGGAAAAGTAAGCACGGTAAGAAAGAGTAGTGATAGAATGGC